TTTAAGTCCATCTCATGAAAAATCGGAGCAGAAACAAAGGTGTTGCATTTATATTTTTGTTGAGTGTATATATATATATATATATATATATATAGATAGATATCGTATTTTCCGGACTATAAGCCGCTACTTTTTTGCCACGCTTTGAACCATGCAGCTTATAATGAGGTGCGGCTTTAGTCAACCAGAAAGGATGGATGCTGGAAAGTCTAATGAAGGGATGGTTAAAGGAGTGCTACGGAAAGCGCCCAGGAGGATTTTCTTTCACAGTAAAACGGCGCTGCTTGTTTTCCCAGCTTCACCCCGTGATGATGACAGCAACACAGAGAGCGACACTGACATCGCCACAGAAAAAGTATGTGACGAAGCTCTTCTGAGGCTCTTCAACTCCGACACTGAAGAAGATGACTTCAGTGGTTTCAGTGCGTAGGAGGACGATGAATAAACTAATCAATAACTTTTCTGTTTTGTTTGATACTGATCAGTTCAGTTAAACTACGTTTTCAATTCAGTAGATATCTGCGGCTTACATTGAGGTGCGCTCTATAGTCCGGAATTTACCGTAAATCCTCTAATATTAGCCTGTATTTAATTAACTGCCGGGTATCATATTTTGGCCGGTGTCGGAGTCGGCAGAGGTGAATAATGGCCTGTATTTTATTGTGGCCGGGTGGAATGTGGTAACAAGCAAGTACGGGGGGCGGTTGTGTCATCCGTCTCACTTTTGATTTGCAAGTGATGGACCGCGAGGGTAACTTTAACCATGCGGAGACGAAGAGGAGGCGAAAATTTGATATCAAGTTCAAAGAGAACGTGCTGATTATGCTGCAGAACACTCTGGGGAGCAGTAGGGGTTGTATGAACTAGTCACTAGTCGACTTCACTGCTCTATAGTGACTTTTTATGCCTGTCATCGACTAGTCGCTGTCACGTGATAATGACCGGCAAGATGCAGTCCACAGAAAAGACAGCAGCCTGCTGTCAGCAGGTGACAAGCTCCTGCGCGTCTGGAGGCAACGCGCTGTGCCAGAGTGTCGATACTAGGGATGGGTATCTTTGACATTTGAATCGATTTGGTACTAATTCCCGGTACCTGCGAATCAATACCGGTACTTAACGGTACCAATTTTCGATACTTTTGAGTGTTTAATATTTTAATTCTCTTTAATAATTAGATATATATTTTTTTTCAATTTATAACCATATTTGATAAATATCACAATAAATAACATACAACTGTTTGTATTTTAACATCGTCCTTGTAGTTTTATAAGCTGATAATTAAACTGAAGCAAACATCTTGACTGTGAACTAAATTTACTGTGTACCTTCATTCCTTTTGCCGTCTTTTTTCATTTGATTTTTCCTACTGGAAAGTTAGAATTTCCTAGGAGAAAGCGAATGCACCATTAGATGATAATGGTGGCATAGAAAGCTAACATATCAAGCTACATTATCTTAAACAGTTTATTTAACTGCTGGAGCAGATTTAAACGATGATGCCTCACACTTAGATCGTTGTTACTGGTTTCATCTTCACCCGTCACATTTAGTAAAGTGAAGCCAAACTTTAGAGCGCATTCATGTTCTTCTAGTCGGAAATTCGGAGTTCCGAGGAGAAAGCGAACGCACCATTAGTGAAACGGAAGCTAATAAATCAAGCTAACGTTATCTTAAACATTTTATTTACCTACCGGAGCAAATTAGGATGAGGATGTCTCACTTAGATCATTGTCGCTGGTTTCATCATCACCCAGTTACCCATCACATTTAGTGAAGTGGACCCAAGCTTTAGCGTTCGTTCTTTCTACCATGCTGCTCTGTTTACAACTCGCTCGCAGCGACCGATGACATAACGCTCTTGCGCATGCGCAGCTGTCTAGGCAAGTTCTCGTTGTGAAGGACGGTACCGAAACGAGGCGCCGTTTCAAATGAAGTGAATCGGTACTGTGGAATTCGGTCGGTAGCTTAAAAAGTACAGAATTCTTTACCCAACCCTAGTCGGTACCGACACCCGCTGTAAAACGAACATTTAACCAAATTGTGACCTTTACCCTCTTGCAATTTAACTTTCCCCTCACCCCCACCCTAACCTTAACCAGCTTGCGCATGCAAAGCTCTGATTGTTGACCCGCTCCAGACATCTGCGTCCTGAGCACGGCCACAGTAACATTATCAAATCAGGTGTTGCCACCTCAAAAACTAATTTAACACGTGATCGTTCATGTCGGCTCATTTACTTTTATGTTTTCTGTCTTTTATTCTTTTATTTGTGCCTGATGCGTTTTGCTGCTGTGGATCGGGGCGCATCACCTGGTTTGTCCTCGGTGACGCGAAGTGGCAGGCAAGCAGCGCGCACTCCGCTGTTTTTGCGGTCGGTAGATCTTTTAGAACTGCAGTTCAAAGGTAACTCATGAGGTGAATATATATGAACCCAGGTAGCAGTTTCTCTTTAGGACTGAGAGGAGATGCAGGAAGATAATAAACAGGCAGGACAGAAAAAAGTCAAATAAAAACAAGTTAGTTTTTGTACCTGCTGGTTGCAACAAACAGACACCATTGAAGGTAATCAGAAGTGAGGAACAGAAAATGAAATAATTATTTTAATGTTTAGAGCAGCAGGAACTCCGAGAGGCTGCAGATGCATCAGTGAGTTTGCGGCCGCTGCGCAGGGGGAGGGGGGAGGGAGGGCTGAAGCAGAAACTACCGTTGTTAAAAGAAATGTGTTTAACTTTGAAAATGTGGGCGCAATTTTAATTGTCAAAAACTCCAGCGAACCATTAGTTCATTTTGCTCAAATAGAAATTGAGGCCTGCCTCTAATTCTGGTCCTCCTTCCAATAAAGGCCTGGAGCTTGATGAGCTTGAGTAAAATACAGGCCCGGGCCTGTATTAGAGGATTTATGGTATATATACAGGAACAAGGACAGTAAACATACACAGGGACTCCTTGCAGCCTTTTTTCATCTACTTTGGTGTGTTATGTTGACAAGTATTTAATGATTTCTTGAGTGAAAAAAATTAGTCACAAGAAGATTGCATGTTGTAAATTCTGGTGATGGCATAATGTGTAAGCCCAAAAATCAAACATCCAACAGCAGGAAGTCTGCATTACTTGGAAACAAGGCATACCCACCGTTTGAAATCCATCCTGTTGCAGGACTCATTGCTTCCAATGAGTTGCTTCCTTATCTTGCTCATTTGTTGTCACAGAATTTAATTCACCAGATACTCAAACTACAAAGAGTTTGATGGTGCCTGGGCCCAGCCAGGTGCATAAACTTACTAATTGTTTTTGTTTTCTACACTTTGAAGTTCAGTTCAAAGTCAAAACTGTCAAACAGTTTTTATTTTTTTTTTACTTTTCAGAGGTCAAGTCGACCTTTTGAATTCAATACAAACAGAAGAAGATCTAAAGTAATGTGTAGTGTTTCTCACCTGTGCCACTAACAGAGAAATTACTGACTTTGGTGGTGAACAGTAAAAATCATAAATGTGACTACTTTTTTCCAAAATGAAACCCTAATACCACAGAAAGCATGATTACTCATTGCAGATGTTACAGGATCAAAAACTATGGTTTGAATGGAAGTGAAGGGGACATTTTTGTCCGCTAAGGTCACAAGATGATGGTAACTTTTGAATCTGTTGCTACACAAAAAACATTAATGCAAAAATGTTCATATTTTGGATATTTCATATCATAACCGAGACTGATTAATAATACATGTCCCAGCAGGAAAAGGTTATATTTTTAGAATAGAATAGAATAGAATAGAATAATCCTTTAATAGTCCCACAAGGGGAAATTTGGTTGTGTCAGCAGCAACATCACACATATACAAACAATGCAGGACACAGAACAGAAGCACAGTTATTACCTATTTACATCATGGACAATAGTTACCAGAGCAGAGTACAATACAGTTGTTTATATAGGCGCACACATATTGTGTAAGCATAGCAGGATACTGAAGATGTTAAAATAGTTTTAAAAGTTTAAGATGATTAAAAGAGTGCAGATTGTTTATTTTTACCCATTCATTAAAAAGTAGACATGTAGCCTTCAATAAATTATTGCATGTATAAGCTGAGAAAAAGTAATGTGTAAGTTATAATTGTAGAAGTTATTACAGCACTGATGCCGACAACTGTTTTGTTTGGGAGCAGTTCTGATTGTACAGTCTAACAGCTGCAGGGAGGAAGGACCTTCGGAAACGCTCCTTCATGCATCTAGGATGCAGCAGTCTGTCACTAAAGGAGCTCTGCAGTTCAGCAACATTTACATGCATGGGGTGGGAGACTCTGTCCATCAGAGATGTTATTTTGGCCAGAGACCTTCTGTCTCCCACCACCTGCACTGGGTCTAGGGTGCATCCTAGAACAGAGCTGGCCTTCCTGATGAGTTTATCCAACCTCTTCCTCTCAGCTGCCAATAAACTGCTGCTCCAACATACCACACTGTAAAGTTGTGGGAGAAATAACTAATTTTCTGTGTTTTTTTTTCCTTCAAAAATTATAGCAATTACTGAGTAGTAATAGAACTGGCATTTAAAATGGTTACAATCCTTAAAATGATGCAAGTTTTATGTTTGAGCAGTACTTATGCTGTTTGACAGATCTATGGGGGGAAAAAAAGCAAAAAAAAAAATAAATTTTTGTATACATTTTTGATAGCCATTTTTACCAGTGGAAGTTTTTGTCCTCTAAAGACTCAAATGCATAATGTTCCCTTGGTCTATTTTCAAAATTCCAAATTGAATTTCAAAACTTGTCCAGAGAGGGGTTTTGTGAGAAAATGTTGTATCATATACACAAATAATGGTGAAATGGCATCCAAAAGAAAAGCAAAAAACTGCCCAAATTAGGTTGTGAAAGAAGAGCTTGGACCAAAATAAAGCTTTTAAGGGTAATATCCATAGAAAAATATAACATGAAAAATTAAAATGATCATTTACATTTTGCTGATGTTTTATTTGCAGAAATAGTTATTATTCTTACTTTAGAGGTTTTGAGTTCTCCAGTGGTGCTCAGTGAGCTGCTGGACTCCTGAAGGAAGCGGATGGCAGCACAGCAGCTGCTGGCAAAAGGTTCGATTTTCTGCAACATACAAAAATAAGAGCAATACAGACAGAGGAGGACAAGGTCAAAACCAACCAGATCCTGTTTCAGCAGTTACAGCAAATCTGTAACTTTTCCCACTTTCAAAAAACAGCTATTATAGCTGTTTTGCTTTTGTTTGAGCTGATGAAAAAACGAAGACCTAATTCCTAATGTCATCTCCACCCTTGCAAAAGTGAGTTGGGAAATATATTCACAGTGTTGGTAACAGCCAAGAGGTGTGTGTCATCAGACCTGTCTGAAGCTGATCCAGTGCTCGTGGTTGTAATAGAATGTGCCGCCCAGGTCTCGTGTCAGCTGTGTTTGGTCGATGTGTTTCAGCAGAGCCTTCAGGGATGAAAACGTCTCATTCTGTGCCAAGAAAAAGGATTAAAGTAAACAAACATAACAGCAAGATATCAGATCAAATTCCACTGATCCCAAATGTCAGTGATCAGAGCTTCTAGATAAAAATCAATTAATGCAAATTTATAAAGTATAGTTAGTAAATAATAAGATTTATGTTTACCTGAACATTGAGATCTCTGTCAAGTTTGGCTGACCCGTCTTTGTCCACCACAAACAGAACTGAATAAAGTGCATTTGGTTCTAAAGTCTAAAAAATAAAGTAAAAATAAAACTTTACATTTTAAATAGGAATGATGGGTTTTATAATTTTTATAGTTATAGAATAGAATAGAATTTATTTGTAATTGCTCGTGGCAAATACATTTCAGATGGTCCGCCATCAACAGTGCACAAGACAATAAATATCAAAAACACTGAGGACAAAAAACTGTTGAGTTTGTTCTTACACTACAGAGGATCCTAACCAAAATCTGATGATGTGTATCTTTTCTGACGTAGCTGCAGTTAACCTGCTCCCAGCTGGTGGTTAAAGACAGACAAGTAAAGGCAGGCTTCTCCACACAAGTCCTAAGGCTTAAAAACGCCCTTGGAAGGGCAGGCCCTGTGTGTTTAAGGTGTGCCTTTACAAAATCACAAACCGCACAGCTTCTGGGTAGCAGAACAACATGAAAGCAATAACAGCATATCCACTGCTTTGGGATGGGGACGAAGCATCGTAGCTTTAGAGGACAGCAGAGACTTGAGCAGATATTGAAACAGGCTTCGGGTGTGTGGGAGGGTAATTACACATCTCAACAACAATCTCACCTGAAATTCAAACAGAGATGAAAACAGAGCTGGGACAGGCTGCTGCTCTCTGCTGTCAATGACAACAGCCATGCCTTGATCACGCATTTCTTTCCTAAAACCAGACAATTAATTAGTCAATCTTAGGTCTGATGAAATGAGAATCATTATGGCTCAAAACTGACGGATATCCCCGTGTTTTGAGCCATAATTCATGAATGTACTCAAAAAATGTGGTCATAGCATTCATTTATTTGAGGTTTTAATGATTTAAAAGAATGTTTCTCTCAACTTTGAGATCATGTGACCTATTGCCCTTTTGTGCTGCAGATCCCAGACTGCTGCAAACCCCCAAAATCTGAACAAGCTAACTTTTTGTCCTTCAAACTCTTTAACTCTCATGTTTTAACTCATCATAACTCAGACTAAAAACCACTCAAATAAATCTTCACATATCGGTTCATCAAGCTCTCGAGATGTTCCTTCCCATTGACTCCAATGTTAAAAAAGCCAGTTTTACAGCAGAAATAAACATGTTTACAGCCTGATTCAAAAAACATTTTAGGTTTAATAGATCTAGTTTACACTCATGACAACTCTGAGGGGGGTGAATTTTTTTGGAACTCTTTAGTTTAAGTGTAATTAAATGCTTGAAAATATTAATAATTAAGAAGCTTCCGAGCCACGAGCAAGCACTAAGAGCTAGCTCCAGGGAAAGGCCTCAGCTTGAGCCTCACTTTAATAGATATCTGGCTATTTCCAGTCTGAACTCTAGTTGTCTCCTCTGTGTGTTCATTTTTGGATGTTAATCATGAAATTATTTGGACAGCGAGGGCAAGTTGTGGTATTGACTGCACTAGCAGGTCATCCAAGGACATTCGGTTTCATTTTTATCAGTAAGTAAAATTATATTTCTGTACTTTATTTCACCGGCTTTGCATTTAACATAACACTGCTTGGTCAAAGATAGGTTGTGTTGGTGGGGCTGGCTGGCCGACTGTGTACTGAAAATTGTAAGCTGACTATGGCTAGCTAGCTCACCTCTGTCAGTGCTCCCCAGGGCAGCTGTGGCTACATTGTAGCTCCTCCCCACTAGGGTGTGCATGTGTGTGTGTGTGTGTGTGTGTGTGTGTGTGTGTGTGTGTGTGTGTGTGTGTGTGTGTGTGTGTGTGTGTGAATGGCTGGGGGACTGATTGTGTTTTGAAGCACCTTAGGGGGTTGTAGAACCCTAAGAAGGCGCTATACAAATACAGGTCATTTACCATTTACCTGGATTTAATTAAGCAAATAGGTATGAGCCTACTTTTAGATAATTACTGCACGGACGTGCAGCTTTCAGCTGGCAACAGGTTCTTTAACCCTAACTGGTGCAATGAGTTACTTCTCATTTCTTAAACAACTATGTCAAAAGTCACATCTGGTGTTCATGGAAAAGATGTTAAGTCTGTTTTGAGTAAATGTGAAAGGAGATTGCATAAACTCTTAAAATTGGGTTAAGAATTGTCCAACGCATCATTAAAAATGTGTCTGATGAGATTTACTCTGTTCAGGGTAAGAAGAGAGGCAGATGAAGTGGTGCACAGATCATGTATATTATTGACCTTTCTGCAAAACAATTTTCATTCATATTTTACAGTTAGCAAAATGTTTGAATGCAGCGATTTCTTTATTACTGTAGCGTTAAGAATACACTACATATTCATGAAAATGACCAATAAGACATGATAATTCCATATAAATATGAAATATCAATCTGACTGATCTTTCAATGTTTAACCAGAAGGTTATAGTTACTTTACTTACTCAGGGACCATTAGCACACTTTGTATTAATTCAGACAAAGTCAGGTATATAGTATATAAAACTGAATTTATTTATTTTCCCTAAACTAATGATTATACATGACAAGATATGAATGAAATGATGGATATGAAGTGGATTAATGTGATGGATGAGATGTTGTCATAGAAGCTAGATGTCTTAGCAAAACCTTTCTCAAGTATCTGAGAGAGTTTGTGAAGTCTGGGTTGTAAAAGCATTTGGCTGTATGTTTGTTAAACTACAGATTTGTTGATAAAAACCATCCAACGCCAGTGTGCAGCCTACAATACCCTTTTGCATGTGTTGCTCCCGGCGGTCCGGAGGAAGGCAGCCTGAGTGGTAAGTCACCGGACGTAGAGACCACAAGACTCAAAGATTAGAAGCTTCCTTTCAGAGTTCAGCTTCACCGGCCATGAGATACAACCAGGGTCTGCAGGTTAGAGGTCTGAGGCGTGTAGTAACTTTTAAAAGAGCTGTTGTGTCTGTCATCACTCGCAGCGTCGCAGAGACTTTTGACTTGAGGTCAAAGAGAGGATGGTTTCAAAAATGCTTCTTCCCTGATTTGGCCGAATCGGAGTCAGCTGGAAACTGAATTCATCGGGAAGTAATTCCTGTTTTATTAAAACCACATCGTTGATAAAATTGGCAAATCAGAATTTGACACGTTTGAGGGCTTTATCAAAACATTTCTCCGAAGTCCTGCCTTCCTTCAGATCCAAATATGGTTAACCCTTTGTGTGATTGAGTTGTTTTAAAACACTTTTGTGAAGTGGATGTTAACATTAATACGTGTCTTAATGTAATGTGTATGAGTGTAGATATTGATTAACTTGTTAAATCAAACACATACTGATCTGATGTAGATAAGATCTGAATTGGATCATTGCAGGAACAATATTCATTGTAAAGCCATCATTCATTAAAGCACAGATTATTCAAACATTTGATTTAAAAATCTTGTTCATTCAACACATATGACTATTTCGACTTATAAGCTGTAAAGTCACGTAGGAACTTCGAAGAGGTTAACTTTTATTCATTGTGAGGATTGCAGCATTCTCGCATGAGGCCTTGAGCAAAGATGTTTTGGCTTCTTTAGTAGCAAGAACTAGGGCAGAACCTTGTTTTGGATTTGGGCCAAATCGATGTTGCTTTCGTGTCTGCAAATGAACGGTTACTTTCTGGTCAATTTGTTGGTGAAAATTTTACCTTTGATAAGTTACATTACTGAAACTCAAAACTAAGGGTTGTTTTTGTTTCATATTACATGTTAGCTAGCAGTCCTTTAAATGTGCCACTATCAGTCAAAAATGCCACACTTTGTTAAATTTTATTGTACTGGAGCGTGTGTTACAAAGTCACCTTAAAGGCTGAAGGATTCAGTAAGAAAAAGTCTGTTTAAAAATAAGAGCATTTGCACATGCACAGTCCAAAGGGAACTTCAGGGATTTAGACTGAGCAGCTGTGTAGCCGTATGAAAACCACTAATCAGTGAGATAAACCAGAGAAAAAGGCTTTAGTTTGCCCCCATGTTCCCGCTAGTCACTTCATATTTAGTTATTCCATCCTGTTTAGTGTTAGTCTCCCCGCATCTCCCTTTAGTAAAATGTGTTCTATTTCGTCTAGTCTTAGCCCTTAAGCTAGCTGCTATTGGAAGGATGATCTCCGCATCAGCCAATCATGAAGAGCTAAAATGTACGCCCACCAATAGTGGGCCCCCTCGTGGTATATAACCGCAGTGACCCCACTGCTCACCTCCTCCTTTTTCTCTTCATGCCAAGCTTGAGAGCTTTATTAAAGAGCAAATATTATCCTAAAAGAGCAAAATTATCCGAAGACGACTTACCAGCCATGTCCAGCGACGCCAGACCCTGCCCGACCTGCCAGACGGGCTCCATTTCCAACGGCGACCTGCACGCTAAATGTGAGGTCTGTCTCGGGGCTCACCACGCTGGCCTGGCCTTGACCCCGCAGGCCTCGTGCCCGTTCTGTGCCGCTCTGCCCGTGGCGGAGAAGATTCGCCGGGTCGAGTACTTCACTCCCGCCGCCGCCGAAGAATTTCCGGTGGCTGACTCGTACCCGCTGGACAAGGCTTTGGATTTCTTCGACGCCGGTCAGGAGCCGGCTGGCTTCAACCGGCTGGATGACGTCACCGACAGCGAGAATTACGATGAGGCGGCATCCCTCCTAGACATAACGGAGGTCGACGAGCTTCGCTCAGCGGGTCCTTCTGCCCCAGTGGCTTCTTGCTCCTCCCTGCCAGCAGTAAGAGCTCTGCTCCACGAGCTGCCCGCCATCATTTCTGCAGCAGCAGCCCGCAAGGGGCTAGCTGTGCCAGAACCGGCCCCGCCTGAAGCGGATGATTTGGCGGGAATTTTCGGGGCGACTCAGACACGCTGTCCAGACCCTATCTGGCCGCGCTTCCCCGCTGCTATGAGCTGCTGGTCTGCCGCCTTCTCCGAGCCTGCCAAGCTCAAGGCGCCAGTCTCTACGTATGCGCCCATCACCAAGGTCGAGGGGTTTTCCGACCAAGGCTGGCCATCCGTTCCTCCGCTAGAGCCGGACTTGGCCTCGCTGTTCGGCGCCAAGAACCACCTCCCACTTCAAAACATGACCAGCTGCTGATGCGGCTCACCGACCGCGCACATCAGTGTGCCTTTCAGACCGGCGCTGCAGGGAATAACATCGCCCTTCTTGCCTTCGGCGTCTCAAAGATGATGGAGGAGCTGGAAGCTCCCGAGGAGTCGAAAGCCGTCATTACTAAGACTGCTGATGCTATCCTCAATCTGCGTGCTGCTGTGCTCACCGGTTCTGCTCGCATCTCTGCCTGGCAGACCCTCATCCAGCGAGCGATCTGGCTGAAGGCCCTGCCCTCCATTCCGGAACATCTGCAAAGGGAGATGCTAGACGGCCCCATAACCACCGATGTTCTGTTTGGTCCCCATCTTAGGGGCGTCATTGAGCGGGCTCAGAAGACGGCCAAACTATCGGCTACGGTGCGAGACCTGGTCCACCCTCGGTCAGCCTCGCACTCCAGCCGTTCCGCCAGAGGATGGGACGAACGGCGCGGAAGCTTCAGACGTCCAGCTGCACCGCCCGCTCCACGGAGCCGGCCTCCCGCTTCGGCTCCACATCAGCGGGACCAGCGAGATGGCGGACAACGGTTCCGGCGGGGCCAGCAGACGCAGTCTTGGCAGTCCCAAGTGCAGGAGCCTCGCCGACAGCAGCCACGGAAGTGACTCTTTGGGAGGAATGTGTGTGTTACTGATTGTTCTGATGTTGTTGTTGGTTTTG